CTTGATTTAAAGTATAATTATAAAATAAATGTAGACCTCTTTGGGTAATAGGAGTTATAGTTTTAGTTGATATTGGATTATCAATAAATGATAATACAAAATGAAAATTAACTGAGGCATGATCTGATAAACCGGGATCATAAACAAAGCTATCGTAAAAATCAGGTAAAACGTTTGTAAAAATATTGTCAATACACGAATTAATTCTGGTATTTTCAAATATAGTTTTATTTAAATCAAAAGTCCCTAATAGATCCAGAAGTTCCAATTGTCTAGCATTTACTACATTAAAGTTAATATTAAAATCACCCATAATAATAAGTTTTTTTTCAGAATTATTAAGTATTGTTAGTAAATTAACAAATACATCAATAAAGTTATTAAAATCACCACCTGGTGGTCTATAGACGCAAACAAGTACAATATTTAAGAGGCTAGATTCCAAAGCGCAAATCTCCACATCCATTTCCTGGCTTAAGTCAGTTAAGTCTGTCCTTGCAGTACAGCAACTAACAAAATCCCGGTAAACGTAAATAGAGACACCACCATGAATTCTCACATCTCTACAATAAAAAGTAAAAAGGCAATAGTTTTCCAAAACAAGTGACTGTATTTGGGCTTTTGAAGCCCAATGTTCAGAGAAACAGAGAAAATGATATTTAAATGATAAGGCATCGATTTCGTCAACCTTATTGGATAGGCACTGAATATTAATGTGAAAACATTCAATTTTTAGGTCGCTGCCGGGTTGTTCGGAGCTTCTGGAAAATTTTCTTTAATGTTCCCAGTTGATTTTTTTGGAAAATAGTATCGATTTACGTATGTATTTTCAGGCCAAAAATCAGGATTTCTTAAGGTGGCTTCATGTCTAGCTGGAGCTTTTATAATAAAACTTCCTTTTGTTGAATTTTTTGAAATGTGACTGTCCACGTTAAACGTCGAAACAGAATCAAATTCTTTTAACACATTAAGAATCTCTTCGCAGGTTGTATCTGGATCCAAATTGGAAAGAAAAATCCACGTGACTCTTTCCAATGGCTTTAGCTTTGCTCTGGCACCAGATACATTTGTGTTCTTTGAAATAAACTTGTCGGTGGTTTTGTTTTTTACAACTTTTTGTTCAATTTTGGCTTTCTTTATTTTTCCAACAACAGTTTTCCAATCATTCTCAAGCAAACTTGGATTTTTTGCTGATGAACTTTGATTATCAGAAACTTGATTATTAATAAGACTTTCACAAACAGTTTGACTTTTTGCTTGCAAAATAGCTGTACTTACTTCTTTAACAGATATTTTTTGATGTAATGACTTTTCCGATTAACTTGCTTCAGAATTTACAATAGTCTTTTTATTATTTTCCAATTTTTCATTGTTTTTTTGGTTTTTCATGGATTTACCATTACTACTTTTTATTATATTAATTAAATCTATTTGATCCCTAAGTGAATTAATGGTTATTTTTTGATATTCTATCAATTCATCCTTTTGCTTTAAAGCTTCTTTTAAAAAGTAAATTTCCAACATAAGTGGATCATCTGATATTGATGGTAACTTATTTCGTGATACAGCTTGGGGCACAGCTTCAGTTAATTCACAGCATATTATTTCCTTGCTATTTATTTGCTTTACATTTTTATATAGTTTTGCACAGCTGGGATGCATAACTGCTTCGCAAACTGAGCATTTAAGAAAACCTCCGACTGGAACACTTTTACACCTTTTGCAAGGTTTTATTGATAACTCGTTAGTAGACATTATAGCATCAAATTAATATCGTCCTGTATAGTCGAGTTCGCCAAGGCGGCCGGCCGAACAATCGCGGTCCAGGCGAACTGGGCTCGAACCCAGCTGCCCGCAAAGATTTTATTTTTGATTTCAATGTTTTTTATGAATAGTTTTTGTTAATATTTTTTGTAATGTTTAAACTCAAGTCTGTGAGAAAATAACAGTTTAATTTTTACATAAAGTCACTTAATCCCAGCACAATTTAACAAACTCAAAACACTAACATTTTAACAATCACTTAATGCACAGTTTGATAAAGTTTTAAAATTTATTTTACTACTTAAACCCATGTTAAAAGTAAAATTTATAGGAAGAATTCTAAACACAACCGTACCCGGTGATATTAATTTCAAAACTGCAAGAATAAACCCATATATTGTTTAAAATAAGGCAATTAAAAATTCTGATTGTCATTTCATAAAGTTTTATTCATAAATAAAAAGAAAGTAGGTATAGCAAAAAAAATTTTTTTTTTTAAATAAAGAGAACAAAAAATAAACAACAACTATATATATATGATTTTTATTCCAAAAATATTGACAAATGAAAGAAAATCCTAATTTTTAATAAAATAAACATAATAATACTAAAACATAATAATAATTAATTAATTTAAGCAGTTTGTCCCAAAATGAATATTATTTGCAATCCATACAAATAAAGAGCGATGTTCAGCGCAAACACTTTTATTGCAATTTTCACATTTATTTTATGTTTCGAAAATCTTACACAGTTCCTACTTCGGTACAACACTTCTCATTAATAATTAAGAAGGCACTGAAAAGCGTAACACAGTACAAAAATTGATGCGTGCGTAATCTAAGATTTTATATTTCAATGGTCACCGGCGACGCCACCTTGTGGTTTTAGGGTTAAATTAAATATTGTGTAAAGTATTATCAGCAAAAATGAGTGAGATTAAGAAAAAAGAGTCCAGATCAAGACCAACCAATTTTAGTAAAACAGAAGATCAGTTGCTGCTTAATCTGGTTTTGAACGATAAGCACGAGCCCTGTTCGAGTATTACGAGATAAAAAAAAGCGTAATAAATAAGTGTAAAAAACATTGAAAGTCAAAATTATGTCACAGGAACAGTATAAGACAAACTGGGGGATGTTCAGGTAAAAGATACGGACGAAATAGACAAAACAGTGGAAGAAATATTAGGTGATCAAATATATGGTTTAACTTCCCTTTTCGATTGCGATCAAGATGAGTCAGTCCTCATGAAGAACATGGAAAATGAATTCACTAATTTGGAGCATGAAAAAGAAAATGCTGAGCTACAAATCGTAACAATAATGCCAAAAGCAAATGTAGACATCCCCCTTGGTGAATTTGTTGTCGATAGCAATGGGATGGTCAACACAGATGGGAGGGCGGGAGAAGCCAACCACTAGACAGAATACACCCCCAAAATGTTGAAAGAACCAGTTAAAAGTAAATTAATATCGGCTAGAACAGGGAAAATAAGACAAGGACAGGCATTTAAACAACTACTTTTCGAACAATTAACCCAAGAAAAACTAAGTTTGTTGGGTTTCATAGGGAAAACTTAATAGAAGAACATGAATTAAAAATAAAAAAATTTACCAAAAAGCTGCAGTTGCAACAAAAAAGATGGAGATATTAATGAAGGAAAACTAATTATTGTCAGCTCATTTATTATTGTTTGTCGTTACTATTTTTTATGTCTTTATTTAGAATTATAATATTTGATTAGCTGTGTTCCTAATAAACCAACATTTGGTTAAGTTAATTAACAATGTTTAGGTTAACTTGTACCTGAGCTTCGAGTTAATTGTTAATGCGAGTAACTCACAAATTAGAGTAATCCAGATATTGAAATATAGATTTTCAAATGTAACTTTAAGTTTAGATGCAATTCGCATTTAACTTGCAATGAAAATAACGGGCCTTAGTATTTTAAGTGTAATTAAGTTATACAATAAATCATTTAGTTCGTTAATAAACCAGTGCGTGTTTTTATTAACACTGTCGAACCGTAAAAACATTACAATAATGTAACATTCTTTCCTTTGAAAAAAACTTCCTCTTTAAATTACCAAATCCCGTATTTTAATACAACCAATTTTGACTTATGTTATCATTATTAGGATGATTAAAGACCACTAATCGAAACGTAGGGAAATAAATAAATCAAAGATTACGACAGTCCAAAACACTAAAATTTCTTCATCTACCCACATAAAATCTACAATGTCCCTTTTCGCTTATGCATACTTTTAAACAAAGTTTGTTTTTTTTATTAGAATTTTTGGTATTTTTAATAATAAACAATATAATATATTTAGGTATTTTGATCTTGTTTGGCAAGGCGTAAAACAAAAAAGTTGGCTAATAAGATAGCGCTAACAAAGTAACGAGGAAAATAAGCTAAGATATTATTGTTTATACTTACTATCATATCATACATAAACCTTTATTATTAAGTAATATATTTATATACATACCTACATTTTAAATATTTATAATATACAGGGTGCGAAAAAAGGTTGCCCCATTTTCAAAGGGTCATTGTTTGGCTCGTAGGGGGGATGAAGCAGTGCGCGTGATTGCTTTAGGTAGGTAAGTGCATGCCATTTTCAGTCATCATAATGAATCTGTCAGAAATATTTGGGATGTCAATAAAAATGAAACTAAGAAGAAAGCTTCTTATTTTTCATATTATTTCATACCTTTCATGTTTTAAAAATAATGTCTTTAAACGACCGCTGTTATTGCACATTTGAAGCCTATTACGACAGCTCGTCATTGCTCTGCGCGCCATGTCGTGCGGAATTGCGTTAATTTCTTGCCTTATTGCTGCCTTTTTGGATACCCACACAAAAAAAATCGCAAGGGGTCAAATCAGGGAACGCGGAGGCCACCCAATATCACCCGTAAAGAGACAACTTTGCCCGGACATTTTATTTTAAAAAACCCTCGCGTAATTAATGGACCTTTAAAAAATAGAAAGCTTTTTCTTAGTTTGATTTTTATTGACATCCCAAATATTTCTGACAGATTCATTATGACGACTGAAAATCGCATGCACGTACCTACCTAAAGCGACCACTCGCACTGCTCTATCCCCCCAACGAGTTAAGCTATGACCCTTTAAAAATGGAGCAACCTTTTTGCCGCACCCTGTATTTTAAAATCAATGTTTAAGGCCATAATTAAAACTAACTATTATTTTTAATTAATTTTAGAGCTCAAACTTACCAGGTCCAACTACCAGCTAACTTTGTCTGTTCCAACTGTAGTTTAAGACTTATACGACAGGCTTTGGAATGGGGAGCAAATTACAAATTTTGGTCATGTGCTGATGTTGATATAAAATTAAGTAAGTAATCAGTTTTTTATTAACTATTCCCAAATGACATGTCAAGGTATAGGTCGGGGGAACCATTAAGATGAGCGGTTTTAAATACATTATTGCTTGGTTATGCCCGTCCAGTTTATTTAATTTCCAATTATAACTACTGCCACGTGCATGGACGGCGCACACTGCGCAGGATTAACTCAAATCCGGTATCAATTTACAGATACCATACATCGTATTTTAAAACCAAAAAACTTATTTAATGAAATATATTTGATGTTTTTAAATAAAATTTATATTATAAATAAAATAATTAAAAAATTGTGTATACATTTTCTTAAAATTAAATATCGTAAAATATATGGTAAAATAATATAAGGTATTTTAAACAAAAAATTCTTAAATCTAAACTTGGTGGCATAAATTTAGGAGCAGATTAAGAAAGTCAAAATAAGACGAAAATCTAAATAAATATTTTTCCTAATTACGTATGTTTAAAAGATACAATGTGATAAAGTGTGACTTATCATATCAGTTTTTTTAATGTAACTTCTACTATGGTAGACTTAGAAAGGTGATATTTTACGTACAGTCACCAAAACACATATTCACACATAATTGCAATTGTTCGAGTGAACACAGTGTAGTAGAAACAGGGGTTGCTTAAGCTTATTGTCCCAAACAAACAAACTTTGAGGTTAGGTTTTTATACCATTTGATTCAATTTTTTGATTACTCAGTTCGGCTACTATTAAAAAGGTGTATTTCTCAAACTTCGATAAAATAAACCGTTTCCGATATATTCGAGATTTCAATAATTGTTATATCGCATTAAAGGTCTAAAAGGTATATGATAACAAATTTTTAATTGAAAAAACTGCATTTTTTTTATTGTGACGGGCAGGGCAAAACGTCCCGAGGCTCATAGACTGCCTTTTTTAGTTTTTTTAAATTAAAAAAATTTGTTATCATATATCTTTTAATCCTTTTAAATAATGCGATTTAACAATTATTGTAATCTCAAATATCTTCGAAACGGTTTATTTTATCGAAGTTTGAGAGGTACACCTTTTTAATGGTAGCCGAACTCTGTTTTTGAAAAATTGCATCAAATGTTATAAAAACCTAACCTCAAAGTTTGCATGGGACAATAAGCTTAAAGAAACCCCCGTTTCTACGACACTGTGTTCACTCAAACAATTATAATTATGTGTGAATATGTGTTTTGGTAGTAAGTGACTGTTCGAAAAATATCACCCTTCCAAGACGTCTATAGTAGAACTTATATTAAAAAAACTAATATGATAAGTAACACTTTATCACCTTGTATCTTGGAAACCTTAGTAATTAGGAAAAATATTTATTTAGGTTTTCGTCTTATTATTACTTGCTCATGAGCAATCTTTTCCTTAATTTATGCCAATAATTTTAGGGACACCTAATAGATTTATTTGTTGTTAGAATGTACATACATTTTATAGTTTTACACAAAAAAAATTCTATGATGCAGTATGCATTTTCAGAACAAAAGGGTCTAAAAAGCAGCAGAGCTGATATTTATATTTTAGACCAAGCTTGTAGCAAATATTAAAAACATTAAAAAGTAGGTTTAATAACAAGTCAATAAATAATTTTTCATTTCTTTTTTAAACTGGGGCATTTTAAGGTTTTTAATTGACGGGGTAATAGAGTTGTAAAGCAGATAAACGTTGTATGTAAAAGATCTCTTAAATATTTCTGTTTTATGAGTTGGGGGTGAAATAAGTTCTGTACTTGATTTTTTGGTGGAGGTAAGGGGGTTTTTTATGTAAGATAATCTTATGAAATAAGACGGCAGAGTGTAGCTTACGTCTATTTGCCATGCTTAACCACTTACTTTCGGAAAGTTTCATATTTTCTAATGCCAGGGAAGATTTTTGCACACTCTGTAATCTATTTATCATTGTTTTTTAAACACGGACTGTAAAAAATATCGCAATAGTTAAAATGACTAAGAACCAGGGTGTCAGTAAGTTTCAGTTTTAATTTTTGTGATGATATATAACGATGAGGGTATATGAGTTTTTGATTACAATATGCTTTTTTTAAACTGCTGTTAATATATTTTTCAAATCTTATATCAATATCTATCACCACACCCAAACTCTTGGCCATATCAGAAGTTGACAAAACCACATTTTCCACCTTTATTTTGATATAAGTTTTGAATTTTTAGCACATAAATATACTAACTTTAGCAGTTGTCCCAATAACAAGGCTTACAATTTTAAAAGGAGTAATTTTCCAGATCTTTACAATGCTATTTTAAATCATGATTGGTACTTTGAAAGCAATGATGCTAACTTGGCATGTGATATGTTTTACAAAGATCTTTATACTATCATAGATCAGCTGATCAGTACGTTCCTAAATATATTTCTAAAAATAAAAAATATCCTAGATGGTATTCGTATGAACTAATTCAAAGTTTAAAACTTAAAGATTATTACTTTAAACATTTTCACATGTTTGGTAATCAATATTATCACACTCAGTTTAAAAAACAACGCACATTGGTAAAGAGATTAACTAAAGATTGTTATCAGGTACACTTAAAACAGATACAGTCTGATCCCAACAAATTTTGGTCATATGTAAATTCAAAGAAAAGTAGCTCGCGTATGATACGCGGCGTATCCCAGGCAAATTTTTTTCTGGCGATAGTCTTTTAGAATCGCCACAGGAAATTGTTGATGAATTTTCTAATTATTTCAGTAGCGTATACTTAAAGCCACATGGGTGCCTATTCTTGAATTTAAGGGAGTATAACTTGCGAGAGAAGTGGGCGTGGTTTAAGAAAAATATAGAATCCGGTATTCTTGAAAAAATACTAAGGTAGGGAGCTACTCCCAAGAGAACCTAAAGTTCTCCAACTAGAGGCTGAGAGAAACAGCAAACCTAACCTAAATTTGTGTAGTGTTTATTGTGTCAGTTTCAAAAATAAACATAAACGTAAAGATTACGTACTATGCACATTGTGAACGCTTCTTATGTATCCTTATGTATTTCTTATGTTTGTTTTATGGTTACGTCCATTGTGAACAAGCTTTTATATAATAATAAATATTTAAATATATCAAAAGTTCAACATTATTGTTATAAACAGACACACTCAATTTAAATAAATCGGTATAGTTAAGATACTACGAAAAATTTTAAATTTGTTTAACTCACTGTATATAGGAAAATAAGTTGTTCCGGCCCTGTCAAGAGTACGGTCCTTTTAACGGAACGCGCCCAAGCGGCAACAAGTAAAACGACGAGGAGAGAGAAGAAGGGCGTCAAGATGGCGAGATCGCTGTTTATGTCGCCAAGACATTTTTTCTAAATTGACATTGTTGTTCACAATCAATCTCTCAATTTGTGTTACGAGTGTTTATGTCAATGTTTGTAGTTTACATGAATAAATAGTTTCTACAGTCCACTATTATTTTAACGAAGAGAATAAAACCAGCACGTGTACCGAAAAATACAACATTTCGGCTGCTCGTACATAAGTATTTCCGTAAATTAGTTAGTATGAAGCTGTTTTCCTATTTTTATGCAAGTAACATCATCCTAAATATTAATAAAATATGGAACGCCGTTGTATTTTTTAATCAGGAATTTTTGTTGCAACTCCAACTGCTAGTCATATTTTTAATTGTATCAATTATTTTAAACAATATTTATAACTCAACTAATTTTATACTCAAAAATAATGTGGAATTAAAAATATCAAAGTGTCACTAAAATTAAAGTCAATTTTTAATTCAAAGTGATATTTGTAATTCATAGGAATTAACGATATCAAAGTGACCAGAAAATTCAAGTTAATTTTTAATTCAAACTGATATTCATAATTCGCATGAATTATAAATATCAACTTGAATTTTTAATTCAACTTATTTTCAACTAAAAAATGATGTGAGTGAGTATGAGTATAAGAGACGTATAACCAGCCCCATTTCCTCTTGACTCTCGAACCCCGTACAGGCCTATGTTTACTTACGCCGATTTTTGTTCTTCCCCAGCAACTGCACGGCTTCACCCGTGTTTGCTGGGTGCGAATGTCCATTGCGTTACGTACTGTCCCCTATTTGGGGCTCGAGAGCGAGAGGCGAATAGTTATAATAGCCATTCCCGGGTTCGCCGAGCCTATGCTATACGCTCGGTGGGGTATGGATGAGGGACGGGAGGGAGTTGGTTTTTGGGGGACAATTACGCCGACTTAAAACTAAGTACGACGCGGAATCCCCCTAGACCAGTCGATTAGTCTTACTTCAAACATTTGGGATCACTATTTGGAGTTGGGGAGTTGTTATTTCGCTGCAGGGGTGTAGTTTCCTAGTCGATGTCTTTGTCTTGTTCGTTATTGTCATTTTCCGTGTCCTGGTCAGATAGTTCCTGCCCTTGGTAAAGTGTGTCAGTTGTTTTTAATAATTTTTGTCCCAGGCACGTTTTGTGGTAGAGTTCCGTCTTTGTTTATCAAATTCCAAAGCATTGCATTTATTCACTAGTCAAACAAATCACAAGCGCGATTATTCTGTTGTCTAATGTTTACAAACTCGAGTTTGGCTATTAGGCCCTTTTTTTTAATGTGTTAGAATTTTGTTCAATGTTAGTTTACTCTGTCAGTCCAGTGTTTATTTTCCGGCTCGATTGGGACCGCCTTACGCATTTGCTGTTGACAGACTTATTGCCCCACGCTGCGTGCCCTTCTTAGGTTTTAAAGATATCCCAGTAAACACTTTAACGATACCTATCACCACTAACATTGCCCGTGTAAGAATTTTTAACACTTTTTAATACAATTTTGCAATGATAGTAATTAAAAACAAAACAATTGTTTAAAGAGTAAAATATGTTCTTAACATAATCATATTTTAAAGTCATTTTAACATTTTCAAGTAAAATAAATGTTATGTTTAATGAAATGAATACGGGCAATGTTAATGGTGCCGTATTTATATTGCAGATTTGTATCAGGTCATGCATACTCTTAAAGTAAAACTTATCAGATTTTTCCCCTTGCGGATGGCCACCTCCCCTCTTCTCCGACCTCCCCCGTCCGTCCAGTGAAAAGCCTCCAATGACAGGTGGCACCCAAGACATTCATATCACCCAACACTCCACTCCTCAATGACCGTTACACCATTTTAGCTTGCACTCCATGAAAATGTTTGATTCACTTATCAGTTCGCACCCCTTTTTTTTTAATTATTGTTGGTTTCATCTTTAAACTTTTACGTTTCAAGAGCTCTCCCGCACGCGAGTCGCGAGCATTGCTGTTTGTAAGTTTCAAGAGCGCGACGGCAAGCAAGATGCGACTAACTTTGACGAACACTCGAACGTGACTGATTTTCAACTAAAAAATGATGTAGAATTAAAATATTAAAGGGAAACTAAGAATTATTTGATATTTTTAAATGAAAGACTTATTTTTAATTCCCACAGTTTGGACACCCCTGGTTATGTTGATGGTTCAATTTATCTACTACAGTAGGTATATTTGCTTTAATCTCAGTTCAATTATTTTGCGGCACTGTTTGTTTATATAATACCGTTTTTATTAATAATAGGCATAATAATTAATATTAATTAAATTACCTAATATTTTAAATATTTACACAGGTATTCTCATAAATCGTTAAGTAGGTCAACTGAGTCAGTTGAACTACTACAAATTTGACAATGCGAGAATTTCGCGCCGGGAAACCTAACCTTCTTTATCTGCCTAGATAAATCTATCTAGGTTTATCTCTGCCGGGAACGAAGCTAAAATTATTGGTATATTTACTACATAGGTAAGTATTAATAAAAACGTTATTATATAAACAAAAATAGTGCCGCAAAATCATTGAACTGAGATTAAGGCAAAATTTGCCTGGCAAATATACCTACTGTAGTAGATAAATTGAACCGTCAACATTACCAGGGGTGTCCAAACTGTGGGAATTAAAAATAAGTCTTTCATTTAAAAATATCAAATAATTCTTAGTTTCCCTTTAATATTTTAATTCTACATCATTTTTTAGTTGTAAATAAGTTGAATTAAAAATTCAAGTTGATATTTATAATTCATGCGAATTATGAATATCAGTTTGAATTAAAAATTAACTTGAATTTTCTGGTCACTTTGATATCGATAATTCCTGTGAATTACAAATATCAATTTGAATTAAAAATTGACTTTAATTTTAGGGTCACTTTGATATTTTTAATTCCACATTATTTTTGAGTTTAAAATTAGTTGAATTATAAATATTGTTTAAAACAGTTGACACAATTAATTGTAATTACAAATATGACTATTAGTTGAAGTTAAAACAAAAATTCCTGATTAAAAAATATTTTGGCGTTAACGGAACGCCAAAGTACTTTTTAATACCTATAATTTGGTTTGGAAATTCAAAAGTGATATTAGAAATTCCTGATTAAAAAATACAACGGCGTTCCATAATAAAATACCTTTTATAAAAATATAAAATGAAATTAGGTTTTATTTCATTTATTTGTGAACAAGTGGTTTTTACTAAAAAACAATTACAATTATCATAAATTATTAATTTTTACAAATTTCTTATCGATATTCTTAACAATATTTGTCAATATTTAATTTAATGTTAATAATATTGGACATTTGATTATTATAAATTAATTTTACCGCGTTTAAAAGTAAAATGATTTTAAACAGGTTAATGTTTAATATGGGTCTTGAAAGGGCTTGAATTACCTAAATATTTAATTCGACCTTTTTTGTAAAGCGGAAAATTTCCTTAAAAATATATTGGTCCAAATTTTGCGAATTAAACATTTTCCGATTTATAAAAGCTCAAAAACAAGTTTTTAAATAGAAAATAAAAAATTGGGAAGAATCACCTTTAAATATTAATATTAAGAGCTTATATTTCTATGTCTATGTCTAGGGAATTTCTTAAATTTTGTTTATCATGGTAATATTTTTGAAAAATACATATTTTTTTATGAAATTTTACTTGAAATAATGAAAAATATCTTAGAATAAAATGGACATTAAACAGATAGGCCTGTTTAGTTTATTAAAATAACAATTTGGTAAAATTAGGAATAGTTTTTTAGGTTGCTTATCATAAATTAGACTCAAGAAATAGATTTTATACGAACAATTTTATGTCTACAGTCCGATAAGGATGCATTAGTGATGACTAACGATCACCAAACTTAACCACGGTCTCATGGGAAAGTATAAATAAAGATCCAAAAAGGATAAACACTCCAGGGGGTGAGATAGTCATTCTTAAACGGGCACTAAAACGGTAAAGACGCGTGTTAACCCCGAGACCGCGGATTTGATATATACAAAGTTTAAAGTTTATATACAAAAGTGCTCTTTTAGTTCCACCCTTACTTCTTAATAATATTCCCATAACTGAATGACTTGTGCGGGTTAGGGGTAGGAACGGACCGCGGGCTTAAAGTCCCATCCGAAGGACTATTACACAATAGGACACAAATAAACAACCATACACCTGGTGGGATTCGAACCCACGACCTCCAGCACCAACCACTAGTCCACCATCGGCGACTTTGTGTTTATAATATTAAGTGTCTATTGTTTTGTCAAGTTAGATAATCGTAATAAAGGGTAGGTACTATTGTCGATTGTGTAAATGATGTCCAAGTACAAGCCGCGCGGCTCAAAAGCCACCGAGGCAAGGCAAAAATATGTGTCTGTCACATCAGCACACTTGTAACAATTTCAATAAAGTTTAAATTAAAAAACAAAACATTGTTTTTCCTTCAATCATAAAAACACGAACAAATAATTAATAATTTTTTTTTATGAATTTCATAATTCTTGTGACTATGTAAAGACCTCCCCACCGAAGATTCATGTGACGAATTATCAAATCCCCTACCTCCTAACTTTTTATCTCGATTCTTTTTTGTACTCGATCTAACGAAAAATTAAACAAATAAGCAATCTCGTGACGTTTTTAAAAAACCCTCCCCTCTCGGGAGTGACAGTCCTTCAAACTCCTATCCTCCCTTGTAGCGTCACGAGATTTATGGACCGCCTCAAATTTGATATCCCCCCAGGAGCTAATTATGATGTGACGAGTAAAGTAAAAACTTTTCTCTTTGGATACTAAACCTCTAAGAGTCTAAGACGTAAAGAACTAAATTTATTGTACTAAAAATTGTACTAAATTATATAATTATGTTATTATAATGCATTTTTTACCCTTTTAAATAGACGATTATATGAAACTCAAATTAGTATAAACAAACCTAAAAAAAAGTGCTTTTCCATAAGTCGTTAGGTGTGTAGTCGATATCGTTACTAGCGATGCAACGTGTTTTAAAAGACATTGCTATTAACTATAGCGACGACGCTTTTATCGTTTATCACAGCTCAAAAATACTCGCGGCCTAATTAATACCTTATATTAATGATTCTATTACTACTTTTATATAATTTGTATTATTTTTTAGAAAAAGATTTTAGAGAAACATGCAGTGGTCATGGAAAATATTTATTAGGTAGATGTAAATGCGATAGACTGTATTATGGATCCTACTGTCAATTTAGAAATGAATGTGTTGAGAATAGCGACTGTGGTGATCATGGTAAATGTATTGATGTTAAAGCTACCACTGCACCCAGGCAACAATGTTATTGCGAGTTGGGATATTTTGGCCCAGGATGTGTTAAGCGTAAGTAACTGCAACAATACATTGTATTATTTATTGTTAAAATACCTACCTTTATTTGTTTACCTTAGTATTTTGAAAAACGTTTTAAGAACTAAAAATATAAGTATCTAATATTCCAAAAAAAATATTATTAAGTAATGCATAATGGTTTTTGTAACAATAAATTAAAAATTTAATTAAAATTAAATTTACCTGCACTGTTTTTGTATTAGGTTCTCCTGTTAAAAATACGAATATTGATTTTGGTATTTACACTAAGAAAAAATTAAGTGACACATTCAATTTATATTGGCGAATTATAAAGGAACATAATGAAATTGAGGCCATTATGGTGGTTAATGGCACTGGATATGCTGGGATTGGTTGGAGACCAAAAGATCTTACCAAAACATGTAAAAACTTTCCTTTAATTGAAGAATCCAAATCCGAGAATATTAAACAAGAAGCAATTCCAGAATTTGAACCTACAAAGATCCCATCTACAAATAGGTAATTAAACAAGGATTTAGTAAAAAATCATTTGTGTTTGGTGCATCCAGAACATAAGCGGTTATTATAATATCTCTTTGACATTTTAATTATTTTTTTATTTAACTTTAATTATTATTCAGTTTTATTTCAAAACTTCCCAACCTTAATTTCTTTAAATTTGGAAAAAAACTCTTGAATACCCAAACATTTTTGACTGAAAATTAAGTCACCCACCTTTATCCCTTGTACCCAGGAGCTACCACCTTAAAAATCCTACATGTGAGGATCGAAGAATACCTCATTCCTACATTTAGGCGTATTATTTTTTGAAATCAGTTCGTTTTTTCTCGAGATATTTGAGAAAAACTTATTTAATCCATAATAATGTTTTATGTTTTTAATTCTGTTTCCAATTTTATTAAAAAGTCTAAATTTTATTGCACCAAAAATACCATTTATCAGATATATTTTTTAAATGCGCTATTATCAAGGATAAGTAATCATTCTGGACATGTTTACAAAACTTAACACAAAAAAATTCTATCGAGAATCGAAAAATTGTTTTTAAAAATGTTATCTGTGATTTTAAACAACACTGTTTGGCTAATAACGGGCAAAATTTGTTGCATTTATTAAACTAATGAGTATAGGGACGTATGGCAGGCCCCATCGACATCACCTTACACCAATCTTATTTTACCCCCTTTCTGTTCTCTAACGTATTCCGCAACTGCACAGCATTACCTGTGTTTGTTGGATCCGAATTTTTACGCCGGCTGGTAGGTCTCCCCTAGGAGGTCGTGGATGACAATGTCGATGGTTAAGGCCGGGTCGGGCCATACGCCCAATTAAGGCTAGTGGAGTGCGGAACAAGGAGACATGTTGGTTTTTGGAGGACATTGAACTGGCCCAAAACTAGGTACAATCCGGAATCCTTCTCAACCAGGGCCATAGTAATATCCCCATTCAATTGGGATGAATGGGGGTAGGTGGGTTAGTATGCTGCTAGAACCTATCCTTGTTGGTGTAATTCCTGATAGTCTCTGTCCGTGTCTCTGTCCGAGTCGGATTCCGGTTCCTTGGAACCGCTTTAGAATTGTTTGTGCCCTCTGCCTTCGTGAAATTAAAATTAAAATCATGTTTTTTTTTGTTTTTATATGAAGTTTTCTTTTTTTATAGAAATTACTATTATGTTGTGTGTAAGGTTAAATAATTCACCTATAATTTCTGTCTTGTTGTTATCAAAAATTAAGTAGTTTTAACTTGGATTTAAAATAATATCTTGTGATAGTTGTAAATGTAAAAGTTTCTAGTTAGTGTAGACGCAAAAAGTGAAGTGATATTAACAATATTATTAGATATTTGATTTGTGTAAAGCAATCAGAATTTACTACAAAAAACATTTAAAAACTCTAATAAAAACAATTAAGTGTTTCGTTAAATTTATGAAAAATAAAAATTCTGCCCGAAGTTGGAATCGAACTTGCGTCGAGCGCGGTGCAGACTTGAGTCCATGTTGCTCTGGCCGACTGAGCTACTGAAGACACCTGATTTGATTTCGACAAAGATTGTAGTAACTATATCGGACTTAAAATATGAGTTAACAAATTACTAATGAAGACCTGTTTAATTTGATTAAAAGTGAAAACCAGGTTCTAAAAACTGAAATTTCCAATGTAAAAAAAGAAATAAAAGGCGAATTAGATATTTTAAAAATAAAAAATGAAGATCTTCAAAAAGAAAATCAAGATTTGAAAAGAAAAATACTATTTTTGGAAAGAACGCAAAAAATATATAATGTTATAGTATATGGAATAGAAGGAGATGAACATCTAACTGATACGAAAACCCTACATGTACTAAATGAAGTACTAAATATTCCATGTAATAAGAAGGATCTTCGGGATATACACAGAATAGGGAGAAAAAAAATTCTGGTAAACCTCGACCTATCCAAATTGAAGTAATTAATTATAGTTTAAGAACAGAAATACTTAAAAAATCAAAAGAAAAACAAGCGGAGTTAAAAGAAAATATGTATTTTTTACCTCCGATTATGCATCTGAAGATTATAAGGAGAGGAAGCTATTGAATCAATATCTAAAGGCTGCAAAAGAAAAACAATATAAAGCGAAAATTGAAAATAATAAACTCGTAGTCGACGGAAAAGAATACACTAACAATCAACTTAAGTCAAACACACTTAAGGTACCTAATGCTGATGAAAACATAGAAACAGTAGAATCATTACAAGAAAACCTTAATGAAAACATCGAACAAATACTAAAAAATTCGTACGAGGAGGACGAGAAAAGTAAAAAGAAAAAAAATAAATTACCAACAGGAGCAGTACCAAAAAGGAACACTAGAGCTGAGGCAAAAAAAATACAAGGGGATTAGGGGATTTTTTTTAAACATTTTTAAATTTAAACCAAATTTAATGTAATGAGGAATTTATCTTTTGCTTTTTATAATGTGAGATCATTAACAAATAATTTTGCAGATTTTAAGGTTTTTATTTTACAAAAAAATATGATTTTATTGGTGTATGTGAAACGTGGTTGTCTGAAAATGTAAATACTAATTTAATTCATATTGAAGGATATAGGTTCCTTCGTCGAGATAGATTATCGATTATAATTATTATTCATACCAAGAGATATATTTAGCACGAAAATGTAATGAATTTTAGGATATAATATTGTCAGTTTGACATTTTAAATTAAAATTGTGTACTTTAAAAATTTTAATATAAAAAGACTTTAATAAGAGTCATTTTATCATTTTTCACCAAATTTGACAAAAATTGAAAGCTGAACTTATTGGATTTTCTTAAAACTTTCAGGGTGTGAAGACCAAGGCTTAGGATGAACAAAAACCACAATAATAATTTTTTATTTAAACACCCTGAGAAAGTAGGCAGGGCCATGTTGACCGGTTTGCATAAAACCCATTACAACTTAGTTGTTTATTAATATTTTGTATCGCGTAATATTTTGTTTTAACCATAAAACAATGTACTTTTTAAATATATGCTTAAAATTATACAAATGTTTTTACAAATGCAGTTTTTTAGTGCTAAATTTACGCTTCTTTTAACTGAAAATGACAATTTGATTTGGTGTATATTTTTATTTAAAGTAATTATAAATATAAAATAAAAAATTATAAAAAAAGTATCCAAATTGCAGAAAATACCATTTTAATTATGAAAATTTCCCATTTTTGGCGAAAAAAAATGCAATTTTTCGTCCGGAAGGACTGAACGAAAATTCTTCAAAATTTAACAGAATGTTCATCTCAATATAAACTAAAAACTGTACAAAAAAAATTGTGTATTTGCCTTGCTAGGAAGATACAACGGTTTAAAATACCATAAATTGTATAGAATATGGAATTACTTTCATGGTATTTTTATCAAGATGGCTTTGATAAAAAAATGCTATTTAAAGATGTTTGAAAAAGTAATGTTAAATAGTAAAAATTAAGCTATTAAACATTAAATATTTATTTTATAATTATAATTAACAAAATAACGCATACATAATAATTAATATAAAATAAAACAAACAATATTTGTATTGTAATCTTAAGGTACAGAATGATTACCTATTAAGGGTAATGATCGCCTGTTATTTTTATTACTGTTAAATAATCAGATTCACTTATTTAATTTAAGACAAGAACAATTTTGGCACTATGCCTAAGTGAATAATTATGTGTATTTTAGCAATACTTTTAACAAAGAATTTGTTTATTTTTATCGTGAACAATGCTTTAAATATTAACGTGTTACTGCATTTATAATACAAAACTATGTTAAAGGTAACGTTTGTATATAAAATTTATAAATATTATTTTTTCTACATGGAATCTTAAATTTATCTATTAAGGTAGTTGTTAATATAAATTTAATAACATTCACGTATTAAAATTTAGCAAAATTTATTGGTTTTTTAAAACTGCAAATTTTGTTCCTTTTAATATTTTTTATTTTTATTACGATTTGATTCCGATGTACTTCGAACCTGAATAATTTGTAAATTTTTAGGCACAAATGAATGAAAACTAGTATTTTTTAGTACAAGGATTAATTTTTTGTTGAACTATTATTTTAGGTTTTATATAAAAAAAGTGTTGCTATTATATTTTCGTTGCAAAACATATCTAAAGGTAATACAATTTAATCCTTATATGGTCTTTGCAGGCTTGCTTTTGAAACCAATCTCTTAAACGTTCTCCCTATTCCATCACAAGGTCCTTTTCCGTGCGATGTGGCAACTCTGCTTCCAAACCAAAGACATTTTTGTGATGCCAAAATTATAAAAAAGTACCCAAATTTCAGGAAATACCATTTTTATTATAAAAAATTTCCATTTTTGGCGAAAAAAATTCTTTTTTTCGTCCAGAGGGACCGAACGAAAATTGTTCAAAATTTAACAGAATGTTCTACTCAATGTAGACTAAAAATTGTACAAAAAAAAACGGGTATTTGCCTTCCTAAGAAGATACAACGGTTTAAAATGCGACAAATTTTATGGTACTAAATTTATATATGATTTTTGTTTAAGAAGGCTTTGATAGAAAAGTCAAACTATATTTTTAACATTTAAAAAATATTTACATGTTGATATGTTGACATTTTTACATGTTTACATATTTTAAAATGTGCTCCGTTGGACAATTCCAGAATGAGGAGTGTCGAAAACTGATGAAATGTGATATTTTATTACAAAATAATGAAGAATCTAGTTCAAACTCTTTTAAAACTAAGAGTAAATTATATTTTTCAAACAGGGTGTTCCTATAATTTAAAAAAATATGTGTATAAATATTTAGTAATTTACTTACCTTTAATTTACCAGTTTCTGATTTGATTGACAAAATATTATCAGCAATAGATTTTTTAAAAAAGCATCAGTATATTTCAAAAGATCAGGCAAAATATACATCTTAAAAAAATTATTTGCTTCCCATGCTGAAAATTTCTCCTCCGTTGTACCATTGAGTAAGATGTA